ATTTCTGTTAAGAAATATTGTCATATTTGGGGGTAATTCTCTGTGGCAAAATCTGCCCTATGGAACAGGATCTCTCTGAAGATCTGGATGGCCCCAACCCTGTTAGCCTTTCATAAGGCATAAAAGATCTGGCTGTTTTCCCAGGCATTTGGGCTGTGTGGTTAGGCAAACTAATGTGGTTATGGGGTTTTTTAATAAGTTGGATTTTGTTATAGACTTGGGCATTTGGTTTTTGTTAACTATTGTGGTGGTGGTTTTAACCATTGTACATCATCCAGAGTCACTTTTTGGAGTTGTACAGCCTTATACATTGAATGAATGGATGTATAAATAAATAAATAAATAAATAAATAAATAAATAAATAAATAAATAAATAAATATTCATGGTCAATAGTAACAGTATTATAAGCATATGTTTAGCAAAGCAGTCATGGACATGACCAACCTGTCATGTTTCTGTTTTTCACCTTCTTTTCAAGCAGGAACAGACTTCTATTGTGCAGGAGGAGGCCTTAATATTCATACAGGCTACAAAGGGATGATTTTTTTTTTTTAAAGTAGAAAGCTATGTTGTATCAGGGCTAATTCTCGCTTGCTTGTTTTCTTCTCTTATTAAAACAAACAAAGCAGCAAACAAAATTAACACTAAGGCAGCAGATATTTACAGATATACTTTCATCCAGAGTTACTCCAGGTTGTCTAGCATACTGTAGAAATTCAAGATTGCTAGCCTGTACATTATCAATAATCTACCTGAAAATTTAGCTACACTACTAAAGTCACAAATATCTAGCATGTGCGTCTTTGATGATTTGCCATTAAAGTAAATATCAACATTAGTTTATCTCAGCCTGCAACATTTTTGCATCATTTTTGCATCATGGAATTCTAGTAATTTCCACCACATTTTCAAAATAGATCTGCTATTTATGATCCACAGGAACTTTTCTCCTCAAATCACTAACAAAATTCATAGCTTGAATTTTTTTTAAGCCAGACTTTTCAACTTTTGTAAAGATATGGGAGAAACTAAAACATACTCTGTAAGTTCCCAGGAGTGGCTGAAATTTAAAAAAAAAAAAACTTCCAGGATGCAATGGAGTAGCCTTACTATAAATTCCAAATATAATCTATTAAACAGATCTAGTGTCATTTCTAAATCCATGACCCATCATTGATTATTATTAAATAGGTCCTGTTTAATTCAGTTCCAAATTCTTAGATTTCAGACACAGTATAGGTAAAAAAATGGCCGTTATGTGCTGTACCTTCTTTTTAAAAAGTAGTCATTTTTACACCTGTGATGCCTCTGAAATGATACCAGTTCCTGATGAAGTATTATTTCCAACATATTGGGAGGGGATTATGAGTTGGAGCTCATTTGCTAAAAGTAACAATGAACCAATCTGTTAAAAAAAGACACGCACACACAAACGTATGCAAGCAGCTGTTCACCTTTTAAAATTAAGCCGTGTCCAGAGAATAAACATTTATTGGAGATGCTGCCTCAGTTTTCTAACTGAGAATAGGTGTACGAAACTGGGGTAGAATTTGAGTACCACATAAAGCTTTCTGAAAACATTTGGTGAAGTATACTTTTGGTGATTTTTATGAAAATAACATAATAGTATAATTGGCCCAGTGCCTCCATCACATAAGGTCTGCCAACTATAAGCCTGATTGATGCGCCACCTGGCTCATTCATGTGGCCAGGAGGAGCGTGTGTGGCTGGATTTGGGAGTTGCATTATGTTTTTTTGATGGAGGGAGATGGTGCCAATCTTCTTGAAGAAGGAAGTAATGAGCTGCCCTACAAAGAAGCTATTCCTGGTCCAGCTATTTGTACAACTGTCAGTCAATCTTCAAACATCTTTTCCTATAGATTCTACAGAGAATCCTAGAGGAAATGGATTTTCTGGAAACTTTGTAGTCAGGGTTCAGGCCTGGGCAAGGGATGAAAATGGCTTTGATTTCCTTGGTGGATCACCTGTGTTGGGACCCAGATGGAGGAAGTTCGTTCCTTTTGGTCCTATTACACTTCCTGGTGGCCTTTTATACCATTGTCCATAGTATCCTTCTGCACTACCTGTAAGTGTTGGGGGTTGGAGATACTGAGCTATGAGAATTTCTAAGTAGGCAGTTCCGTCTGGCATGCATGGGAACAGAATAGTTGTTTCCATGACTGTTCTAATGTGGAATTCCACTGGGGTTGGTCCTTCATCGAAGCTATTAAATATCTGCATAAAGTTGCTGAAGGAGATCATCTGTTGGTTTCGGATGAAGAATCATCATTATATTAATGATACTCATTGATTGAGTTGTACATCACCGCACCTGGCCAGACCAGAGATGCCATCCAAGTCCCAGCCCCGTACCTGGAGCAATAAGGGCCTAGATAGATCAAAACAAGTTTAGATTAAATCCCTGCAAGATGGACTTGCTGTTTGTTGATAAACCATATGAACCTGGTTTCAACTTAGACTTTGAATGGGTTACAGTCCCCCTAAAAGAGTGAGTATCCAATTTGGAAGTCCTCCTAGACTCTTGCCTCCTGCTAGAGCAACAGGTGAAAGCCATAGGGGAGGGCTTTGCCCAGCTTCAATTTGTCCATAAATAGTTGGCCTTTTTGGATGGGACACCCTCGTAACAGCGATTCCTGCTCTTGTTACCTCATGCACAGATTGCTGTAATTTGCTATACATGGGATTGCCTTTGAAGATGACTTGGAAGCTCTAGCTGCAGTGACTTACTAAATGGGGATAGGAAATTCAGCAACATTATACCTATGCTGCAGGCACTGCATTGGCTACCAATTTGCTTCTGGGCCCAATGCAAAATGCTGGTTATCATTAAAGACCTGCATGGCTTGGCACCTGAGAAATGTCAGTTCTATCTTTCCTACTCACATTCAGTCTACCCATGAGATCTTAGAGGTGAGATGGGAGCCTGAAAACATGCCTTCCTGCTGACTGCTCCTTTTTTCTGGGATGTTTTGCATCCTAAAATAAGGATTGCCTCAATCTCCTATCTTCAAAATGGTGTTAAAAACTATCATTCTGTTTTGCCAATTGTCAAGGCAGTGATCGGTTGCCCAGGCAATTGGTTCTTTTAGTTCTTTTAGATCCAAAGACAATGAACACGCCAGTAGGGAAGGAGATTTTAAGCTTTATTGTTAACTCTAGCAAACAGATTTAAACAGGAATACAAGAGCATAAGACAGAATTAAACAGAAGTACATAAACATAGTATAAAACATAGCATACCAAGCAAGATGATAAAACTCTTCCCCTACTGTCAAGAGTACTATATGGTGACAGAGGAGAGACCCCAAGATGATTTAGATAACACAGCACCTAATCCCAAGGCCTGTGTCCACGCTCCAAATTCCAAGGGCAATGCCAGGGCTTTTTATTAAAGTCTGGCACTGCAATCCCATGACTGTTTTCGAGTCAGGGGCTCTGAAAGTGACTTTGACCAGATATGATATATGGTCATCAAACAATTCCAGAGCCTGAGAACTGTATAGATAAGCTAGTGCTTAACCTAACAATTCTGAGGGTCCCCCCACCCAGTTCTAAGTAAAAGTGAAAAACAAGCCAGCCAAACATTATTATGATTTACTTTCTTAACGTGTGCAGGAGAATTCAAATTATGTCACCTAAACTCCTCAAAATAACAATGGTCTTCTGCATTGCCACTACGTATTCTGAAGAGCTTCTTGAACTGATGTTACAAGAGTTGCCTTGGGTTAGTTATGCCAGCTTTGATGGAGAATTATTTTTACTGGGTTGTTGCATTCTGATTGTAAACTGCATTGAGTTCCTTTGTGGAAGTGGGCAACCTATAAATAACTGAATGAGTTCAAGTGTGCACGAGTGAGTGAATAAATAAATACATTGTATATAAATGTGGTCAATTGTACTATTATAGTTAATAAGTTTGTATCCTAGTTCATTGTGCATTTTTATGGTCTCCACATCCAATTACCATTTGCAATTTCCTCTCACATGCAGTGTTTCTGCATATAACTTTACAAAATACATACATAGGTTTGAACATAAATCTCTGACATACCGTTTCTACATTTACCCCTGATGTCTTCCTTTCTAACATACAGTAAATGCCCCAACGCCTGCTTTTCTTTAGCATAAGTTTTCCTGATCCTAATATATTAATGCAAATTGCCCAATGTAAGGTTTTTTTAAAAAAAAAGTTTACACCCTTAATATTTTTTTTTCATATTCAACATTAAAAATCATGCATTCTTTTCTATACACTTATTTCTCAAAGAGATATTTTTAAAGGGGTTTTGACACTAACAGACTATTCAGAGCTGTTGCCTATGCTGTGGTGAAATCTATTTTGGTAGAACTTGCTAATATGTTCCTCTAGAAATAATTTGAGGGGAGGGGATGTTGTTACATCTTTAATTAAAACAGTATCGGATATTAGAGAAAGACAGCATAGGTGAGCAGTCTAGGGTTATGCTGGCCCTACAGAAAACGATGCCACTTCAGTCGCCCTGAATCTTTATTCGAAGCAGGGTTTTAGAAACAAAGCAAACAATATTGGCTGAAGTATGTTTGGCCATTGCACATATTGCTATTGATGGACCCAATAAAGGATGCATTTTGTTTTGTTCTATAGCTTTCTGAGTTCCAGTGCCTTTGCCTTTAACAACAGCATAACCATAGGAGAGAATCAGATTTGGATTTTGGACCTCCCTTTTGTCATGAACTCAGTGAGCAACCTTAGGTCTAAAGTTCCCTCTTCTGCAATATTGTAGGGCTATGGTAATATGTGGAACAAATTAACATATGTGCTTTAGATTCTAAGAAGCCCTACATAAATAATCAGGTTGCATTACAATATTATTTTCAAAAAAGTTGGCCGACTCTCTATTTTGAGCAAGGGAATAAACTTATTACCAAGCAACATGTTTGGCATGGCCTTCTAACAAGTTTTTAATGTTTCAATAACATATTTGTGCTTCCTTATAGTTGCCCCAACAATTCAGGAAATAAAATCCAGTGGAGTGACTCTTGGAGGTACCGGATTCATAAGATGTGAAAGTGCGGGTGTTCCTTCCCCAGCTTTTGAATGGTACAAAGGAGAAAGAAAGTAAGTCTGGATTCTTTCCTCAGGGGTCTGCATCTTATTAGGTGAAAAAATCTATCTGATTTTCCTTGATATGTGTGTTCAGAGAAAATAGTCAATCAAATGTGCAATTCAGTTACATAAAGTTCAGTTCTGAGGTTGCAAATATAGAGGAAGTATTCTTCAAACTTCAGTAGAGGTACCGAAATTCAGAAAGAGTGTTCGTTTTAATTTATTTTAATTATGTTATTTTATCTTGGGTTATTTAAAGAACTTCAGTGTTGAACTGGTCTAAATGTTGCATTTATAATCTGCAGTATAGAATTAACCACAAATATGCAAATTAAATATCATTAGTTTGACACTAAAATATTATTTCCATTAGACTATGGGAAACAAACAGAATACAGTTTGAATATCTAGTAAAGATTAAAATTGTTATAATAGTGCAATATATTATAATTATGTATTCAATATGTGACTGAGGATAGATATTCCTCAGGGCTGAAAGCTGATACATACATGTATTTTCCCCCTGAAATTTTGATATTCCTGAAAATATATTTTGGGGCAGGAGGACTTGAAGCGAAGGATAATCTGAATTTCTAAACATGTACTGAGAATTATGAGAGTTATAGTTTAATCACCTTTGGACAGTTTAGATTGGACAAAGCTATGCTACTAATAATTAATCATAGACATTGTGTACATAAAACACTATTTTTTTCATTTGCAGTTGATATGAATTGAAAACCGGTAATAGTTGTGGCAATAGTTGTAATTCTATTTAGTGTGTGTTTATAACTAAGCACAGTACAGGTAGATAAAAATAATATATTATGTAACTATAATTAGCATTAAACCAATATAACAATCAATATAAAACATTTCCTAATGCAATAATCAATATGAAACCTTTCTTAATGCAAGCACAACCATAATATAACTCTATAGCAAATAATGAGAAAGAGTCGGCTTCCAGCTTCATAAACTTCAAGAGATCAGTTTCCAAATGTAAATCAAGAAACAGTCAAATTCCAAAGAGTAGGAACTAGATGGGGAAAAGCCATATAGGGCAAGGCAGACAATTTAATACAAGGCAAAGCCAATTGACTTTGACTGTACAATCAAGCCAAGCACACAGGAGGATGAATTGTAATAATTTGTTCCCCAAATAACTGAATGTTCTTGTACATACAGCCTGGAAGGTCAGCACAGCAGTTTGAACTGATAGCATTACCAAAGACCCAACCAATGACAGGATTGACATAAAGAAGATATAAGGGTGTATCAGGAGAGATGTAGACCACATGAACCAGTGGACAGAGGGCAGAGCCAGGAAGGAACATGCATAGGGCTTTTTGAACTTCATTGGGAGAAGTGAGTGTGGGAGTTCTTTATTTAACATGAAAACAGATGTATCAAATTTATTGGACAAATTTCAAAATTCATTGCAGATTCATAGTGATCTTGAAATAACCCAAAAGCTGTGGTACAGAATGAACAGAATAAAGTAGTATATGTAATTCTGAACAGCAGGGAGCAGGTGCAATTAGCACTTTTTATTTCCTCACATTGAAATCAAATCTTCTGACAAGTAGAACATTAGAGAGAAACATTTAACTAACCTCATTCTACTATCTCTTTCTACATTCACTGTAGATTAGATATGAAGTATTGGATGGATTAACCTGGATTCTTTATGTCAGCCTTTCCCAAATTGGTGCTTTTCAGAATTATTGGAATTACAACTCCTAGAATTGTCAGTCAAAATCTGGAAGGCACTAGACCTGAGAAAGTCTGCCCTATCTCAATTATGATTAAATAATTATAGTTACTTCTGTTAGTTCTTGTTAATTGACCCCAAGAAACACATAGTTATAAAGGAGACTTTTTCCTTAGCCTCTTTCTAATCTATCCATTGTCTACATGAATTTAGAAACATGAACATGATACACATCACATTCCTTTTTCAGAGCAAATTTATAATTGGTAAACAAAAATTTAAAGTTTGTTTAAAAAAGAAGTATTTAAATTTTCAGCTCTATCATACATCTGCTTATGTGGAAATAAGCCCCATTATACACAGTATGATCATACATGCATGTATGGATAGGTAGGAAGGTATAGGATCATACATGCATGTATGGATAGGTAGGAAGGTATAGGATTATGCAGTAAAATATTTAAAAGGAGAAGTATTCAACTTTGCTTGATGCAGCAACAATTTAGTCTCAGGATTTTGAAAAGGATTACAGTATTTATTTCTTACTTGTGTGTAATGTACTGCTTTGGAAATATATGGTTAAACTAAAATGTATTTTATATGCAGAACTGTGTGTTGATTAAATAAAAAATAGGGCATTAGTGTAATGTACAATATTAAATCATCAATATGCAGCTATACCATTAATAATGATATATATGCATTTTGAGGCTAAATACAAAAAAAAAAAATGTACCTCTCTCCTAGATTTATGATGTGCTGCCTCCATATATCAAAATTAAATGGTAACTTGTTTATATAAGCATGAGTTCTGCTTTCAGGATGAAATATAAGCAATTCTCTGAGTAATCAAGCATAGCTAAGTATTTTCACATTTAACTATATTTTTCCAAAATCTGAATCTGGTCACATGTGCACAAATGATGAAAAAGTTCAAGAAGGAAATATTCAAATCAGTCAACATTGGTACCATGGGCTCAGTATATAAATGGTATTATTAATGATGGAAAATCATTTGTGATTATATGATCAGCCTCTGCCAGTGAAGAAAAGATGTCCAGAACCTTGCTAAGTTTGATTTTTTTTTTCTTTTTAAAGGGACAGAAAAAAGTCTAAGTTCTCCCTATTTGGAGAAATGAGAAGGGGGCATTTCCTAAGTCTGAGCTCACATACAACAGTAAAAGCATGTGATTTAACTGAGTTAGATCTGATTTTTCCTTCCACCAACAGTAACATCCATTTTGAATGAATACAGCTATCAATAGGTAGCAGTGGATAATTTTTGTCCAATTTAGTTCTTACCCCACTGTTCTAGGCTGTTTCTTAACTTCTGTAACACCTTTTCAGAAGGAAGGGAGATGTCTTGTGAATTTATTCCTTCCTCATCCCTCCAGTGGGATCAGTCACTGGATCAAAAATCAGAGAGAAAAAAGTATTTTCAGCCATGGGAGCCAAATTCTGTACTCAACTCAAAAGGCCAAATATAAGAGAGAAAACCATGAGCGTTCTATGCTAGCTGGAAAATGAGGCGTTTTTATTTAGAGAGACTTTTCAGCTTTCCAAAGGGAAAAAAAAAAACTCCCACACCAGTACACAGGCATAAGTCAGATTGCATTATGTTAAGCTGAATGCTCATCATTTAGTTTCAGCCTAAATTTGCTGTTAAATTTGCTGCTGTTTTGTGTGCATAATTCTAACCAATTGTTTGCTAGCTTAGTCAGCATGGACAAAATTGAAGAGAAGTTGAGAGACGGGAGCACAGACATTGAAGCAAATCTGATGCTTTATGCTCGCCCACTGATATGATAGCTTTTTCATGAGGCTTCATTATTTTAAACAAAGTTTTCTCCATAGATGAGTAAAGAGGTAAAAGGTTACCATTTTATGGGAAATATATGTGCTGGCTTCTTCAACAAACAATTTTGTAGTGATGACATTTTATATAACAGAAAATTCCACTGTGGGTAAATATCCATAAGATTAGCTATAGTCACAATATTTATCATTTACTATTATGCAGAACAATTTATACATGTTTACTCAAAAGTAAGCACCATTTATTTTAATGACGCTTCCATAACCTAATCCATGTATTATGTCTGTAATTAAAATGTGCCTGTCTGCTCTCTTGCCTTTATAAATATATTTTGTTTACTATTCACTTTTCATATACTATACATTTATTGGGAAAATCAGAGCATTTTGTAAAACAAAAGAAAAGTCAGAAGGTGATTATGATATGCAAAGAGAAGCAAAATGGTGGATCATTTGTAATCTATGAGGAATATCTTTAGGGGGTAAAATTCAGTGTTATTTTGGAGTCAGAATGAAAAGTTGTTTTGATAGGTGCACAAATCAAACAGGAGAAGTGAGCAAAAAATACGAGCAAGAATAACAGGGTCTACAAGGATGGGTCTCTACCGAGGACAAGGGGTGCAAGTGAAGTCACAGATACATCATCATGTGATTGGGCAAATGGTGTGTTGTACTTCACTTACTTCATGTCATGATGCAACTGTTGCAAATTACTATAATTTGTGTCATTTGCATGATGAAAATGACATGCATGATATCACTGGGGCTTCTACCAGATGCTTTTATCTTAAAAGAGCAGTGAATAAAAGGAGAGTGTATCAATAAAAGAAAACTGTATCATCGGTACTGACATCCTGTTGATCTGAATGTCAAAATCCAGAGATCAATGCACCCTGATACTTCTTTGGAAAGGAAGCCAAAATGTTATTTGCATTAAACAGTACTTTAAATTTTGCTGGTATTGTTGACGCATCTGAAGTGATTAAACTAAGCAGATGCTGGAGCCTATGGTTCTCCAAATATTGCTGAACTATAGCTCACAGCATCTGAACATGCCTGCTAAAGTTGCTGAGAATTGTTGCTCAATAACGTTTGGAGACCTCCAAGTTTCTCATCCCTGAACTAAACCAATTAACAGAGGTTTCCCATGGTTGGAGTGGAGGACAGAGACTGATTCACTAAGCAAACAGAGAGTATTGAACTGAAGTTCAAGATCTGTGTTTGCCAGAGATCCCTTTGTATACTTCTTGGAAAATTTTGATCATGCAGAGAGGTCCCAATGCAACTGTTCAGCTGACTATGTGGATGTGAGGTAGACATAACGTACACAGCCTTCCTTTCATTGTAACATTTAAATAGGGCTTAATTTCCAAGCTATCAATATATCATCTTGATGAATCAGCTCAATAATTTTCATTGGATTCTTCAAAAAATAAATTCAGTAACAAGGTATGTTGTTTTTACACTGCCTTGCTTTGAAATATAAGCTGATTTGAAGCCACATTAAATGTTCTCGCCTTTCCAACTAACTTGGTAGTGCCCAAGACAAGGAGGGAATAGAGATTCTTGGAAGTGCTTAAAACTCCTAGACCTATGGCCTGCTTTTTAAGTCTTTTTCTAATCTTTGCCTTACTCTGCCCTGATTCTCCTGGACTGTGAGTGCCTAGTTCTTGCTGTTTACCCCTAGCATTCAGTTTCTTGCACCTTTTCTCCTGACAGCCTACCTTACAACTGAAAGTGAAAAAAATAATAAAACTTCATTTAAAATCAATCCTAATTTTGTTTCACAAGTTTCCCCCACTGTATTATTTCATGTATACATTTATTGGGTAGCTTGTCCTTTTTTTCCCTAATCAACCAACCAAGTCTGAATTTAGACTCCCTTGAATTTAAGGAATTTGTGCCAAAAGGGGGAAAATACATTCTATGTTCTAATGCGTATGCACAGTTGTCTGCATAGATGATAGCCTTTTGCTAAATTATAGTCATTAGAAAAATATGGCACTAGCATTTTTTTTGTAAATATGGCATTAACAGTATTCAACATTTGTGTCTATTCTCATTTTTCATATCCTACTTTGGTGTAAGCTAGGGTTTTTCACCCACATATATATTAAATCAAAATGCAATTACATTTGCATGTTGATTCTAACAGTATATTCCCTTTTCTCCTCCATTCTAGATTGGTCAATGGGCAACAAGGAATTACTATATATAGTTATAGTTCAAGATCATTTTTAAATTTCAACAATGTGACAGAGGAGCATTTTGGCAACTATACATGTGTCGCTGCCAACAAATTAGGCACAACCAATGCCAGCCTGCTTCTTAACCGTAAGTCAAGAAAGATTATGAGAAATGTTCATGTGGTAGGTTTCCTTTTTCTTCTTCTTCTTCTTTCCCCTGAAGAACAGAAACTTGTCTAGTTCAGGTTCTCTTTAGGAACATTGTGACTTATACAAATTTCTCTGAGCAATTTCACCCTGGGGTTGAGAATACACCCTTAGTCTGTTCAGTTTCCATCTGAGTCTATTAGGTCAGCAGTGATTACATCAGTCCTTAGGATGAATTCAAGTCTCAGGCAGGTTCATACATGGCCTGATGAGATCTTTTTCAGGATGTAGTCCAGTATTGGTCCACTAGATGAGTATTAGACATGCATTATTTGGAATTCCTAAATACTCTTTCATATGCAATCCGTGTCATGGCATAATAGTAGTACATATATCAAGATATTCACAAAGACCTTCAGCTGATGTGTGTGCTCTCCTGACACAAGTAGGGCTTTGAATATGCACTGTTTGGATTGTTCAGCAAATAAGTTGTTATATTTTGCTACATAGTCTTGTACGTTAGGGTGAGTATGTACACTAAAACAGTGGTGGATCTACTATAATAATGTGATTGGTCAAAGGTTTTGACAATAAAAAGTATGATATTCATTTTGAAGTGTGCACTCTGAAAACTGCTGCCAGTTGCCATATCATACCCTATGTGTAATTCTTTTGGAATTCAATTAGCTGACAATAAGCAATTGACTGACATATTTCACTGAGTGTTACAATAAATAGAATTTAATGAAAAAATATTGCCTACCATTTTTAAATTAGACTTTGATTTCTTAATTAAAATGTGTATGAATAAATAAAAGCTGGTGATACATTAGGAAGATACAACAAATAATTGAGCGGTTGGAATAGAGTAATTAGAAAAGCTGCCAATAGTAACTAAGAATACAGAGCCCCTGTTGGCCAACTATCTTTATTCCCCTGCAGTGTTACTATTGGTATATGAAGACACAGTGATTTTATCATGATTCTGTCACAAAGCTTGTTATAGCCCTGAAGCAACTCTTTCTGTTAGTGTAGAAGACAACACATTTCAGCTTTGGCAAAATTCCCACTATCTCAGAATCCAGCTAATTAACTGCTTCTATCTGTGTTTCTTTAAAAGGATTTGAATACCTATGGAAGAACAACAGAGATTGCATCTTTTTTCATGAATTCTGTTCTAAGGATGCAAGATAATGCAGTCTCTGTGGTGCTTCCAGTGTTAAACAACTCACATGATGAACATTATAATAGCAGAAGATTGAGTATTAATTCATATATTTAGCAATACTTATTTCTTTCTGACATTCGCAGTATAATTATGCCTGGCTTGTAAATTGAATGCTGCGACAAGGTACTCTGAAATAATAATGATTATTATGTTTCATAGCATGAGCCATACTTCTGATTTAAAGATATCGTGTTTGGATACACTTTTGATGTGACTTTCAAGCTATATCAGCTATAGAAAGACATTAATTGGGGCAAGGTAGTTTATAGGACTTGTTCATATGGAAATATATTTACTAAAACTAACAGAAAGTCTATTGAAAATATGTGTAGTTCTGTTTGCTTATATCAGAACATATAAACAGCTATGTTTGGATATTTTGTACCTATATGACCTACAAAAAACACAAATAATTTTTCAGGTCAGATTTTCTTGAGACCTAACTCAAAGTCACTATTACTTGTGACTTGTATTTTTCTTTAAAATTGGGAATTCCACTAACTAGAGAAAACAACAGTGCTATTAGTCACATAATTTTATTCCACAGCCAGCAGAAGGTAGGAGCTTTGGCTGAGCATCTTCAATCTCTACCAAACATAAAAGTGTTATGGCTAACACAGCATATGACTAGACTGTACATAGATGGAAAAAATCTTCGCTGATCTATTTAAAAAACCAAAATCTCTCTGATTATGTGTTTCCCCATTTTCTCAAAATAGCATTCAGATCAAGAATACATAAAAATAAGATCTTAACTAATAAACATCTTAATGAACAATGGAGTAATTAGAGATAGTCTCAGTATATTTCTTCTGACAACAAACTGAAAAAGAAATGACCATTTTATTTGCTATTTCAGAGAATTCACAGTACTGCAGAACAAAATTTGTTACTAGGATGGGAGAACACAAACTGAAGTCCAGGACCTCAGTATTATTGATGAAGCTTAGCAGGTGTTAGTCCCTAAAGGATAGATATCCAAGAACTACAGGAACTAAACTTTACACCTGACAGTTTAGAGGTAAAGAATACAGGTTTTATAGTATAAATTGCTAAAGACACAGAAATGCAGTTTGTTTTATAAAGAGGAAGATCTAGATGACAGAACAGATGTGATGACACGTTTCTTCAGATACTTTCCAGTGAGTGTCTTGTAAAGTCTGCCCGGAGCACTGATGGACAATTTGTGGCAAAGTAAATAACTGATCAGCAGCCAAAATAAATTCCAAATGCTACAGAGATCTCATAATGCCATGAGTAAAGTAACAAGTTGCAATATTCTAATTAGTTGTGACTAATCCATCATCTAGTCTTTTCCAAATATATTCTTTTTGAAATACATTGTTTGTGCTTCAAACACAAGCTGCAAGCTCTGTAGGGTTTCGAAGATAACCATTTTAAGCTTATGGGCGTGTACCGTGGATAGTCCCATCCTGCCATCTAGAGGCTCATTTGAAGCATCTCCATTGTTTACTTGCAGCTTTCTCTACAAGGCTGGCTCTTCTCAGGAATGTGGAACATTTTGACTTTGCTATAAGTAAAGGCATACATTTTATGATTCATTAAACCCATTCTCCCAAGGGAACAAGCACTTCTATGGTACCTATCAAAAGATAAAAAGCACAGGTTTTTTAATCGTTTAAGTGAGACAAAGAATGAAGGAGCTAAGTCTCATTTAAATATGCAAACTCTACTTCTGAATTAGCACAGGGTCAAGTTAAAAGCAAATGAAAAACACTTCCTTAAAAATAATTCTGGGGAAAATTGGAAATAATGCTAACCTTAACTCTCCATTACAGAATTGTAATTATTTTTCAAATGCAAGGAAATGGAATAGTTTTACAATTAAATATTCATATAGAAAGGTAGCAGATCTACATTCAAACTGCTAAAACTTCAGATAAAATACCCCTGTATCTTACGATATGTATAGTCAGACCAAAAAAAAACCTTGAAAGGGAAACTTGTTATGGGCCATGTACTTAATATAGGTTTCTACTTTGTAAGAGAGTCTGAGATAAATGTGCATAAGATTGCATTTGTGATTATTTGGTCCCTTGTTTGAAAGGAGCCTCTGTTTGAGATGAAGGCACTCCCATTTATTCAAGACAATATTCTTGATCTCCACTGACACCCCCTCCCAAACTTCCTTCAGTTTCCTCTGCATACCATTCTGAAATGTCTTCAGAAGGCCCAGAAGATTGAAAGGAATAAGGAGTTTCCCACTCCCACAGAATAGTAGTTAGAACTGCAAAAGTTAGGAAAGCTCTACCTTCGTACCTCTAGATTCAAACATAATGAGAATTCCCTCTAAAAACAATAGTCTGTTTTTGCACTTATCTGTTGAAATCATTGTGTAATGATACACATCTCAGCAAGTGACAGCACCTGGCTGACCATGCCTGAGTTTGTAAACTAAGCTGCAGTGAGCCTGGTTAGTATTTGGAAGGGGAAGTCCCAGAAATTGTTCGCTGCTCAGTCATTTGGGTTGAGATGGGCGGCTATAGAAATTACATAAATAAAAAATAAAAATAAAATAAAATAAAATAATAATCTTTACTCTTGGCTGAGATGTTAAAAGGCATTCTAAAAGAAGACAGTGTCAACTACTTCTGCCCTGTTGCCAACTGAACTTAATGGATGTGGTGTTGATGTCACCAAAGTTTTACTTAAGTGAGACTTTGCCTTTAAGAACATATGTCAATGAGAGTGTGTGTCCTAAGCTGGTTCTTCAGATATCAAGTTTTGGTTTTAATTTTAATTTTGTATGCTGTTCTGTCTGAAAAAAAGTAATAATTTGGCCGTGATATGTAGTATGTTTCAGATATTTGGCCTACAGTGAAGAAGTTGAGAATTATTGTCTTAGCCAAGCAAAAGCAATTGCACATGATATTTTAAAGAGAATTCAGCTGTATATTCCAAAGTGTTTATCATTGCAGAATGTTAGAATGTCATTAAGCAGCTGTCACAGATTCATTTTAATGTTGGATTATGTGATCTGTTTGTATACCTATCATATGTTTTCAGCTCTTTGGGGATGAAAGGTGCAATAGAAATGTTGAGATATGGTAATAATGCTGGTGAAATGTAAATACCATGTTGCCTTGAACATCTGCTTCAGTGGAAGAGGAAGGAAATCATTTCTTTACATCATGTAGAAAATGCTCTTCACTTTCTAACTAATGTAACATTCAGCAACAAATAGAACTTTTTAACCAAATAAAATTTAGGGAGAACATAAATTTGTGGTGTCATTTGTAATCTGAAGAATGGAAAGAAGGAAGAATGACCTATTCTGTAAATAGAGGCAGTATAGACAGTGTTCTTCTATTTAAAAAGGGGGAAGATGCTGAAACTAGCATCTAAAAAGGAAGAGCTGCTTAGATTGTCTCTCACTTATATTTTAGAAGCTTGAATCTCTTTTTGGTCAAGGTTCAGTCTATGCCCACGGGATCCCCATATGGGACTTGGATAGTATCCCAGGGCTTCAGCCCAGTTTGTTGGCTACCCCACTGGTCACATACTGAAGTAGTGAGAACCTACATCATCAATCATGCCATTGTAGAGTCCAAGAAATTGTTGCTACTCCCAACAAGTGGGGTGAGCAGAATCTTGACAAATCTCTGTAAGGTATTATCAGTAACCTTAGGCTTTCAACCTGGTTATGCATGCATTTTTTTTTCCATTTACGGCTGTGCTACAATTGCTGTTGTTGGTTCAAGTTCAAATATAGTGTATGTTTGCTGGTTACATGTCATCAAGATTCCTGCAGT